AGTATCTTCACACTGCCAGCACGAAGGGGGGTGGAACTCCATCTCTGGCACTCCCAAAACTGACCAAATAACCACCATCTCAACAAAACAGCAGCAAGTAGGAGCCACGAAAAATCTAGTCCAAAAAGGCTATGCAAATACCAACACCCTCTTATCCTCTTTCCGATCATGCTAATGATTTTCTCTTCCCTCCCAAGGGGTGATGACTACCAGGGTCTCTGCCTTTCCTGGGCTTTGGGTGGAGGAGTTAATGTCATCCTGAGGGGGAAGGACTAGCTCCACATTTCCACCCGGTGAGGACAGAGTGCTGAGAGCTCTCCCTCCCCGTCTCTTCTCAGTGGGAAGGATCAGCCCCTCCAAAAGTACACAGACTAATGGGGTAGTAAAGATTTCCTACTCCCAGAAAAAGGGAATGCAGAAACTGCCGGCAGCATCAAGAGCAAGTGTCAAGCGCTGAAATAGTCTCTTGAGTCGGTCAGGGATCGCACAGTCTGGAGATCACTCTTAGCTAACCGTGGCACTTGTTGGGAGGGGTCTAGATATCCATATACACAGACCTAGACAGGCAGGAGTGAGATACATCTCTCTCTGTGTACATACATTTATAAAAAATTTATGGATTTGTATATATGAATAGGAACATATCCAACTCCTACACATTTAGATTTGAAAAATCAGAGAAAGGCAAATTTCTGCTGGAAGGCAGAATTTAATTCTGAAACCATTAGTTTGGTGGGTTCCTTGTTTATGAAAATTACACTAATAAACTGTGATACATAGAAGTGCCACGAGACATGATTACTTATGGATCGCAAGTACAGGTACCCCAAAAATAAAGAGATACTTACAGATCTGATGCCAAAAGACATTTGTGCAGCTCCATAAAACACTTTTTCAGAAAGTTTAAGGCTTATAGGATGATCAGCCAGAAACCACCCTGACACATCTCAATAGTATTTCCCAATAAGAAAAATGTGCCATTTTCACACAGATTTCTGGGAAGTCTGTTGAAGAGATTTTTGGATCAGAATGAGATGCAATTGTATTCTGAGGTTTTCAAATTATAAAGATTGATTTCAGCATTTTAATGCCCTAGCAGATAAAATCCACCACACGAGCTCAGAGCTCTCGGTGCACTTACAGCTTGGTTTCTACAGAAAAGAGGTTAATATTCTCTTCTGTGAAAAAGAATTGCTCATGCTAAATGAATTACAGAGTCGCTGATGTCGGAAGGAGCCTCTGGAGACCACCTGCTCCAAGCCCCTGATAAAAGCGGCTCAACTCGAGGGGATGCTCCGTGCCACAGTCCTGGCCTCAAAAGCAAAGCCATGCTCTTCGAGCGCGCCCTAGTTTTTTTTTTCTTCTTCTGGTTTAAAGTCCTGCGAGTATCTATACTTAGCTATCAGTGTTTTGCTGCCTTGATGCTAGGGTATGGATTTTAAAAAATATATTTAGTGAAGAAAATAAGGAGAGGTAGATGCTTCAGTACCTTATAAAAATCCAGTTAGGTAATTTACCTCTCTATGAATTACACTACATGACTTTTTGCAGTGATACACTGAATGTGAATTATACAAGTCTCCACAAAGGTCTTGAAAAATTATTTTTGAGTATTTTCCTTTCTATATAAAGATGATGTTGATGCTGCTATGGAAGAGGCTCGTGTCTCTGCAAGTTAAAATCATAGAACCACAGAGTATCTCAAGTTGGAAGGGACCCATAAGGGTCATCCAATCCAGCTCCCGGCTGCTCGCAGGACTATCTAACACTAAACCATACGACTCAGAGCATCGTCCAGATGCTCACTGAACTCTGACAGGCTTGCTGCCGTGACCACCGCCCTGGGGAGCCCGTGCCAGCGACCGACCTCAGCAGCTATTTTACTCACACAGTGATGCATATCATGTAAGATTGTTTTCCTTCAACTCTGTGGCAGTGGGAAGCAATGGATGCTAAGATACATAAACGCTTCATTGACCAGGAAAAGGTCGAACTGCTGATACAATCAGCTCCACAGGCACAGCAGGCTGTAACATAGGAGGGAAGGGTTGAGAGGAGACACTCATTTCACCCACACGCTCAGCCAGCATATAACTGATGCTTCTTCAAGAGAAGAAAATGGGCCAGGGCCAGGCCCTGTGACTGCTGCCTGATTGCTCCTTCCTGAGCAAAATGTAACTTGACGAGAGACTGTATTTTTTGTTTGGCTTTGTACCATTGACTGGGCCATTTGTATCTGTTTGATTAGAAACAGGGGATCTGCTGTCCTTCAAGGGAGGTAACAGCCAAATGAAAAAAAAAACAAACAACCCACAACACTTTTTGAACTGAGCAGTAGATTTGGAAATGTTATCAAAGTGATCTTGAGCAGAATGTCATTACAACTGAGTGATGTGGTGATGTGTACCATCAGCACTCAGTTATCCCCACATGGGTTATCCCAGCCACTGATGCTAGTTAGCTCAAGCACAGCTCTTCATCAGCATTACAAAACTGCATCAAAAGACAGATTTAGCTGTCCGTAGTGTGGCCACTTGGCTGAGAACAAAGCCTGAGATGGTGAAGTACTGTTTGACGTAGATAGCTCTGTGCCTGGCCAGCACTAGAGGATGTGATGTGCTTTGGTGGCTGGGAACCATGAACAGCACCGTGCAGGTACCACATGTCTTGGTCAGAATGGGTTTATGTTCAGTTCCACGTCTTGGCCCTGATGCCACAGCAAAACAAAACCAGTGCAGGCAGCTTTGCGAGTCTTTGGAGCAGGTGGCAATTAAAGGGAGCTTGCTCAGTTGTAGCACAAAATGAGAGAGACGGTGTATTTTTCTTTTTTTTCCTGATGTTCATTTAACAGTGGAAGAGTCATCTGTAAGTATGGGAAATTCCATAGCTGTTTTGTTTAAGTTTGCCTCAAGGTGAGGTACCAGATAAGCGCACAAGGGGCAGTGGTCACGGCAGCAAGCCTGTCAGAGTTCAACGAGCATTTGGGCGATGCCAAGTTGTATGGTTTGGTTTTAGGTAGTCCTACGAGGAGCAGGGAGCTGGACTCGATGATCCTTATGGGTCCCTTCCAACGTGAGATATTCTGTGATTCTAGGGTAAGTACAAAGATATATGACAAGTATATCACAAGTGACATTGCTTTTGTAGCACAGTATGCATAAATCATCTATTTTTGCCAATCAATAAATTACTTAAAATTATTTAGAACAGATGCAAAACATTTACATTTCTCAGATTAACGTGAAATCTTACTCCTTGTTTTTAATAACATGGGAGAGAGATGAAGCAGAACAACAGAAACACTTAAGTAATACCAATGTATTTTATGTCTTCAAGTTAGTATTCATTTTTAAAGAGTCGCACAAAACAACTTCAGAGAACCACACCTCTTATAGTTTCCCATTAGTTATCATGGTTACTGAAAATACAAAAAACATTTTAAACTTGTTTTAACCTGAAGCTCTTGTAGTTAATAGTTTTTGTAAAGTTCAGCCTCTGCTGTAACCGAACACCACAGTCGCAAGCATCAAAAAGTTACAGGTACTTTCCACATTAAGTTAGTAATCTCAGATAAACTATCATGCAACAGTACAGCACTGCAAAAATACCTCCATAAATTTTGATTAGAAAGATCATATCTGAAATTTAGGACAGCAGTGCTTGTACATAAAAGCCTATAAACAAAATCTGTCAGCAAAATCAGTAAATGGTTGAATTATGTCAACAGTTGTATTAAATAATATTTAGTAGACTAATATATCATGCCATATGAAAATAACTCTTTAGAAAGGTTATAGTGGATATATTCACTGAATACTTTTGTACTATAGCACTCGTATTATGAATGGAACTGTTTATGGCAGGGACATTTTCTTTGGTACAATGCACTTAACATGAAACCAAGTTTGCCACACGTGTGTAATGCAAGTGCGTATCAAGGCAGACTTGGAACAGAAAGTCTGTGAGGGCAATGACAGTAATCGCCGCACCATACGCGTACAGATCATAATTCAAAATTCTTCTTTTGCAGCACGCAGCAACAAGAGATATTTTGCAAATCCTTTAGTATGAAACTGCAACTCCTATACTTCCAAAAGCATACCGTGAATCATTGCTTCCTCAAGAGAAATTATCAATATAGTTTCTTCTGTCATGAGTATTATGTAAAGCTGGAACTGAAAAACAAAAGCAAGCATATAAACTGTAACATACTCTGAAGAAATAAAGCTAAAACAGAGAAAACAAACCTAAAAATTTTCTGAAGTTGAGAGTTACTCATAATAGTGCAGATAATGACTTCAGTTACCAAGAATTCCATTTGCACATGTAAATCCAGAAGAAGGAGTCTAGGAAAAGGAATTCAGTAACATTACTTGAAATGCAATAAATTTTGGCAAAAGCAGGCTGCTAGCATACCCCAAAAATGTCAAAGCTGTCTTGATGATATTTGTGGAAGTATGTACACACATCTAGTTTCTAAAGTTTTTCATAATCTAGCAGTTATGAATAATTACTGCATCAAAAAATCTGCTTTCAATTGCAGTAAGATATTAATCAACAAAATGTTACCTGCAGTACAGTTGTAACCTATCAGGAAAGGAAATTAGTAAGTTAATTGACTGGTTTTGGAGGAGAAAAAAAAATGTAATTCAATTTAATTTCATGTTTATATATGAACATTTAATTCAATGTTTATATATGAAGAAGCTGGGCATGTTATTCTGGAGACTACTTTTGAATATATTTCTGAAATTTCACAACTTAATCGAGCTTTTCTTTTGGGAGTGGAGAAAGAAAGAAGTGGGCAGGAGGGAAGACAGTAAAATGTTTTGTCGGGTCATATTCTGCACTCAGTGTGATTTTACAGCCAATTTTATGAATCTCTCCTCTCAAAAATCTGTACTGGGAAGATACATCCACTATCATGGGACAGCAGCAGTCAGACTGCTTCATAAAACTAACATATCCTACACTCAAAACCTGAGTGTTGCAATTAAATGCTATGTCTGGAATTCCCTGGGTGAATTTCTCTCCCTCTCTAACTTCTCCCTCTCCTTCTGTTCATGAACATTCACAATTTCTTCATCTCTGACATCAAAGCACAGGAGTTCAAGTCGAAAACCTTGGTTCCTTCATGGAAAAAGAAAAAAAAAGAAAGAATGCTTACAGAACATACAGCAATTACTCTAAAAGTAAATCCAAGCATGAGGATATTTTACACACTTCTGTCTTCTTATCACATAACAGAATAGGAGCATGTTTGTGTCTTTTCCAAAAGACTACTGATATTTGCGTTATAAAAGTGACATATGAAGAATTATTTTTTTCCTGCCTCCGATGACTAGCATCAGCACTTACTTTTTGCGGTCCTTGTCTCTCTTCAAACTAACAACAGGGGTAGAGACAGATGCTTGTGACTGGAGTAATTCAGCATTAGCTTTCTTCTCAACAAACATAGCTATTTCATCTTCAAGAACTTTTTTCTTTTTCTCTAATTTCAGTTTCACTTCTTGATGCATTAGCATATGATGTTCAAATTTAGTCTGTACCTGTTTAAAGAAAGCACAGAAAAGTAGTATTTCCAACTAGTAACACAAGGTGGTGATACCACAATACAAAAGCCCTCTGCAATTGAACAGTAAAACCCATCTCAACTTGTGTTAAAAGTCCTAAGAAATTGCAGTTCTTTTCCAAAACTGGTAAGACTGAAAAACAGAAATCCAGAAAAATAATCATTCGTATCAGATTGTTCTGATAGAAGCCAAGCTACTACACACAAAGTACAGATGGAAACCATGGAAGGTACTAAGCGAGTATTAGATTTCCTACTAGATTTTACTCTATTATATCAAAAATAAGGCAGCCTTTAGAGAGAAAACAATTACCAACAGAAGAATTAAATTAGGATCTGTCAAGTAGAATCTACTTCCCTAAAACCAAGTGGGCAAGGAATCATACATACTGTAGTTACACAGGTATGTATTTTCATATCTAATTTTAATATACATATTAATTACATTTACATATTAATATGTACACACACACTAAGTCTGATTGAGGGAGTTACTTGTGGGCTGCAAGAAGTTAACTGCTTTTCTGCAGCAATTGTTCCATATTGGTTTTTACTCTCCAGATGCATTTTGACCAGTTTAAACCTACTGTGAAGTTGTGCGTGACACCCAAAGGGCACCTCACTTCACCCTTCCTCACCTCCCACCTCCCCCACACAAACTCTCCTAGAATCCCGCTCCTGTATCCATCTGTATTGGTGTAACTCAGTCTGAGGGCAGCTATACTGGTATAGAAATCAGAGAGATTTATTTCCATCTTTCGCAAAGAACGAACTAAGAAATAACCAAGATTATAAACATAACAGTATGCCTGTTCTACACAGTAGAGCCATCAGATTTTACAAATGTGTGGGTATGTATACTATTTATTTATTTATTTCATTGCAACAGATGCATTGCAAAAACAGGTATACCAATAAAAACATTCAAGGTAGAAACAGTAAGGTCTTAAATGACTGTAAGGCTCAGGAGTGGTAACACTGCACATTGCACCTACAAACGAAGGATGTGAAAGCAATCTTAAGTACAACAGAAATCCCTGGTTTTCTTTAGTTTCCAGATACACATACGCACTTCTTGGAGTGTGAGCAGCAAGAGGATATGACAAATGTTCTTTAGGAGTGACTGCATCACCACTTTCCCACATCAGGAACTGGGAAAACAAATATCCATAATTCAATTGCAATATGCAGAGCTCACAAACTGCCTGGTATAAATCATAGAAGGAAAACATCAAAGGGTACCACAGATACTGTGTAAGACCCAGCTGAACTCAAATTGAACATGGCCAAGTATTCTTCCAATTGTATATAGCCTCATACTGAGAAGGATTGAACCCAATTTTTTTCTCCACAAGTAGCATGGGGGACTTAACAGACTTAGAAAACAAAGTATTAGGCTTTCTTCTTATTTAAAACATGCATCTGAACACCTTGCAAAAACTGCAACATCTTTGCTGGGATACTGAGGTACAGAAAAGAGGGTTAATAAATATACATAGGTTTCCAATTTCAATTAAACCAGTGTTTGAATATAAATACGCATGACCATGATAGAGTCTGGCAGAAAGTAGATGAGAAGATCCTGTTTTGCCAGTCCAGCTTGACAGGACTAAATCTTCAACAACATATTCAAGAAATGTTCTGCATCTCCAAATATTCTTAAGGCAGCTTAAAACAAGCCCCCGCCCCTCCCCACTTTCAAGCCTTTCAACATGAGGGTTGAGCTTATATTTAATAACTGAACCTGGAGGTCATACAAACATACATGCCCCACTCTCTTGGGCTGAAAAAGAAGTCATGGGATTTTTTCCTGAAATCTTAGTTTTTACAGAGCAACCTATGCATGAAAAGCACCTACTGTGCCACTATGGCATACCAATGTTTCTCAGCATACTGCTAGAGAAGATGAAGAAACACGCAACCATTATATTCATCACTCTCTTACTTCACCATATCACCTCCTACACTATTGACTTGTCCCAGCTATCCACGAAACCCTTTAGACCATAAGCTCCTTTCTTCCAAAAGACAATTGCCATTTACAGAATCACAGAATCATTCAGGTTGGAAAAGACCTTTAAGATCATCGAGACCAACCATTAACCTAACACTGCCAAGCCCACCACTAACCCATGTCCCTAAGCACCACACCTACACGTCTTTTAAATACCTCCAGGGATGGGGACTCCACCACTTCCCTAGGCAGCCTCTTCCAGTGCTTGACAACCCTCTCAGTGAAGAAATTTTTCCTAATATCCAATCTAAACCTCCCCTGGCGCAACTTGAGGCCATTTCCTCTCATCCCATCACTGCTTACTTGGGAGAAGAGACCGACCCCCATCTCACTACAACCTCCTTTCAGGTCACTGTAGAGAGCGATCAGGTCTCCCCTCAGCCTGCTCCAGGCTAAACAACCCCAGCTCCCTCAGCTGTTCCTCATCAGACTTGTCTTGCTGGCTTGTGCCTAATCAATCTGCTAATCCAATCAATCTGTGTAATCAATCTGCTTTTGATTTTAAGCATTACTGCTCTCAAAACATGAGGATATTATAAATATCAACTAGTTGTGATTTTACTAAGAACTTTTCCAAATCGCAGCAAACAAACTGAAGACAGGCAGGCACGCTTACCTGTTGCTCTGCTTCTTTCAATATTGCTTCTTTCTCCTTCACTCTCTGCACAAACTGTTGTCTCATCTCCTCCTCTTTCCTTTGCATTTCAAGGTAGAACTCATGTCTCTTTGCCTCATAGGCTTCCTGTAGACTGAAGTCCAAAAATGTAAGCAAGTCTCCAGCATGCGGCTTTATTCAATGTGGAAAACCAACAATCTGGAACATTATTTAAACAATTAATATTCATCTGAAATATTAAATTCTACAGCTTCTCACATAAAAATTCATAAACAGAAGCAAGCATCTTACTGCTCTAAATTTTTATTTAAGTAAGCAACTCTGAGTAAAATTGTTTATGCTTACTGCTCCTGGGCAATTTACATTTGAAAGTAAATACAGCACTTTAGGAATCCCATGTTCGAAAGACTTGAGTTATAACTTTCTGCCTCCAACATGCATAACCTTTATCTTTAAATTACTTATTAATAAGACACCAAAATTGCCACAAGAAGCTCCCAAAATTTCCACATTCTGAAACCTCAGCCATAAATAGGACATTACAAAAACAATGCATCTGGAGCATTAACACAACTAGCAAACTGATTATTCCTATATGAAAAGTAAGGAGAACAATAGGACCTTCAAAATATATAGCACTCTCTTTATGTAATGTCAAAAATTTAAATATGACAGAGTTACATTAATATAGAATAAATACAATTTCCTAGGTAGTTCAACATCCAAAAGATAGGGTTACTTTCCAACATGCATCAGCCAAAACCTCAAGACTGTTTTTTCCTGAATCCTCTCTCCCAGAAGCTAATACACTGCATACATACCACACTTATATTTGAAATTATACAGGAGGTATAATTAGTTCAGATCATTGGGCAAATTATCTGGCAACAGAATAAAACAGCAAGTAATTAAAACATCTCTACTTTTACATCGATGCCACCCTTCCTTTTTTTTTTTTTCAAAGTTACTCTACTAGACATTTCAGTACACAAGACAAGTTTTTCCCTCCGAACAACAGGTACTTGAAATTGAGAAACTTCTTTCATATCAAAGCATATCACAGCAAATTAAAAGATGCTGGTAATTTATTCATCTACTACTAGAGGTTTGACATTTTCAGGGTCTATACCACCACTGTTATCACCGCAGTGCTGGCAGGAAAAGTTCTGCTTTTCAGGGAAAAAGGAACAGAGCTTGTGCACGGATGTATCTCATGCACCAAAGAGCACACTACCTTTGAAAAGCAGACCTGCTTAATGACACCAGCTCTTCCAACAAAGCATGTACCACAAACTTCTCTAAGCCACAAGATTTCAGAGAGGCAGAACTGGTGGATCGGAGCTGTGCTAATGGTTATTACGAAAACAAAAGGATCTGTCCAGTATCTTGTAGGACACAGGGCTTATGAACGGATCAAAACATGGATAATGTTCTAGCTTTTTATTCTAGGGCAATTCTCCTACATCATTCATCTCCTCTAACACTTCCTGAGGGCGGACTAGTCAGCCCTTCTAAGCTAACATGAGTTACTCTCCTTTGCCAGGTCTAAGCTAACATGAGTTACTCTCCTTTGCCAGGTATCTCATGCCCTCCAGTCTGACGTAACATAAATACATATCTATATCAAATATTTAAATTTGCTTTATATTTTTAATACACATACACACTTTTGTACCAGTTTTTAAGTCACATCTTTTATTGTTTCTATTAAAACAGTTTATAAATGGAAAGACTTGTAAAAAAGGACATCTAAAAACTTAATTATTTAGAGCAACAGTAGGCTTAAATATCTCTCTTCTATATTTAAATTCACGATGACTGGGCAGTTTCCCAATCCTAAAGTTTCTTATTCGTATTCAAAATATAACCTAAAAATAGAGAAAAATCCTCTTGAAATTGCACATGCAGACTTAATGTCTGTGAGATCTCCAGGTCAGAGCGCTCTTCCCATTCTATCTTATTTGAGCAATACATTGCAACACAGCAAATTCAGAACCACCACCTTTTCGGGTTGGTTGGTTTGTTTGTTTTTCATCAGCTGCAAAGTAACTTACATCGTCCTGAAATTGTATCTACCATGTGAAACGAGGGCATGGTTTTCACACAGGTATATTAATCCACACTATCTTTAAGTTTAGACAGCATATGTAATAACAATAAAGCTACAGCACAGGTTTTTCAAGTGCTAGCAGTCTCATTACACACACTTTTGGGCCCTGTGTCAGTTCTGCTAGCTCACATGCTGCCTTTGGGTGCAATAAAGCCACTAGAGCAAGTGCTAGACTAAGCTAATATGCTGCAATCGCACCTTCATTTCATTTCATTATGTGGATGTCTTTAGACTCAACCTAAGCTAATTTATCAGGTAAAAGCAATTTTGTCTTGAAATTAGTAAAAGATTAACTTTGAAGACACTGGATTTACGAAGCAATCAAACTACATGTATAAGGAAGAGGAGAAATAAAAGTGTATTTTTTAAATCCCCCCTCCCCCTGGACTGAATTGTTCTGGAAGTCGCAATGACAAAATTAAAACAAACTTTCCTCTTCCGTGTTTGGCATATCAGCAACATAATGATCCAAACAGCCTTTGGTTTTAGGACGTTCGAGGAGGAAGGGAAAATAGTTCACTAGGTCTTAAGTCAGTCCTTTCAACATTACTGCGTCCATTGCTCGCAGTAAAACACTTCTCCGTTCACCTGAAGACTGATTTCACTGCTTCTCATACAGCACATTATGAAAACCAAATTCACAGGTTCTCTCATTCTTCTGGGTCGGACCTCTAGAATTTTATACTCTGCACAAACCACTTGCAAAACTAAGATGTTAAAGATAATTATTTAAATAATGTATTCTTATTGAGGTTTTGGAGGAAGGGAAGGGATTGTGAAGATAGTCTACACCTTACTAATCCATTACATACCTTGTAACAGCACTATTACCTATCACCTACCTTTCTACAGAAGCATAGCTGTGACATACAGTTTTTCTATCTGCGTAAGACTTAGAACATGGAAGCCTAAATATAAAGATGCAAATCAAACAAGTTATGTTCATAAATAAAGACTCTGACTGAAGTGAATTCAGCTCTCAGTGGAACACAATGTTTGTGCACTTTGAATAACACACATATTTACACAGTATTTTACAGTTTGTTCACTTAAATTTTAAAAAGCTTTCAAATTTGAAAACTACACTTGTAACTTTTTGCTTAACATTCAATTATCAATTAAGGTGTATCATAAAAACTAAAAAATGTAAAAGTTAACTAGTGGCAGGTATTTTTAGCATGGTCCTTTGACTCAGTGAACTACCCAAGCTGACATTAAGCAACGCTAAGGATGTGGTAGATCTAAATAATCACCATTTTCCCAGTGGAGGCATGAAACAGGCATTTTGGATGCGGTTCAGTCTTACCATAAGGAGGTTAAAATATTTAGCTCAAATGCAAAGGTCTGCAGTTGGTCAGATGAGTTCTATTCCCAAGTGACTTCTTAAGGAAGAAGTCCAATAGTCTTTCAGATACTAAGTTTCCTTTCTTAGAAAAGACAACTAGAGTCATATCAACCTTCCTCTACAAATAAACTTATTCACATCACTGAATCCTTCCTGTTTTTCTGTCATCATCCTCAAAATAGACTGAAAAAATAAACATGTTCTTAAACTTAAACCTAAACCCAATGAAAAGTCTATGCTCAGTTTCAGTTGGTTTTAAACCTCATTCACCTTTGGTGCTCTATTTATGGAAAAGATTTATTCCTTTCTTGTTAAGTCAAGAGAAATGTCAAGAGACCACTGTGATTCATGGTCAGCTCAAGATAATCTAAACGAACTAATCTTTAAATGTGCCTTGACATTAAGACTTCAGAAAGAATTGCCCACGTCCAGCATCTTCCTTGGCTACATTAATCTTATTTAATTATTATTGTTTGAACAATATATAAATTAGACCTAGTCAAAGTGAAAGAAATGCTGCTCCATCGACACTCTATGAGTTACAGTAACTGCAACTGCCTTAGAACCTCTGTGCAAAGTACAGGTGAAAGCAAAGAATTTAAGCCACTAAAACCAACTATTTGGAGGGAAGCCATTTAAGTGTCATTTATTTTTACCAGAGCAGAATGGGTAAAGACAGTCTGATCACTAAGTAAAACAAGAACTAAACAAACCAGTTGGTTCAAAGCACTAGGAACTATTCTTAATGCAAAGTCTTATTTTGTTTTCATGTCTGCTTTAAGTCAGTATTTCCCACCATGACTATGCAATAATAGCACTTTGCTAAACCATGAAGGCTTGAACAACAGAAGCATCAGTTCTTCCCCATCAGGATTCTAACACAAAATACAGTCCCATGCATAAATGACCAAAGGAAGTTGGAAGAAGGAGAGGGAGATGACAGAATTGGAAATAAAAGATTAAACAAACTGGATATAGAAATTGTAAATACCTCCTGCAGAAAGTAGCTTTAGTACATGAAACAACCAAGTGTCTCTAACCCCCTGCTTAACTCTCCTTTGGAATCCTGTATTAGCTTCCTACAGTCTAGCAAGAGATTTCTTGACCTGAAAAGGCTAGACATTTGTTATTATGGTAGATAATGTGGGAAGCCAACAGTGTAACCAATGATTTTGTAAAAGTTTTTGCTTCAGTTCCTTCTGAACTTTGAGTCCAACCAAACCATTGTTCAGAATCAGATATTATTAAGAGAGAAAGTAAAACAGCACGCTAATATATGATGAAAATAATTTAAAACACGAGGTGCACGTACCTGAAAAAAACTGATACTCTCTATCACAAAAAATTAAAATCCCCAGGTTTATTCTAAAAGATAAATATTTCAGAAATACAACTAGCTTGTATGTGTTTAAAAGCAAGGCTCATATAATCCCATATACTTCTCCATGAAGATAACTGAACGAACAGCTATGTACTCACTCCGACTAAAAAAACCCGATTCTTTCCCTCTTAGAAAACCTATTGTATGTATGAAGCCTGCTCTGTATTGGGTTGACACAGTGAAATGTGAAGTGAATGGATGCTGAAAGCAAGTGCTGCACATGAAGTCCTTTACCTGACGGGTTTGTTCTCAGGGCCAACGTCTCTGAAGCCCATCTCTTCCAGTCTGCAGCGTCTGTACAACTCATAATGTCGTGCATGAGTCTGTTCTCTCAAGTCTTCCATATTTGTGCAGATTAGCATCTCACGAAGCTTGACAAAGTCACAGTGGTTCTCATTTTCCACTAATCAGTTAAAAGCGGAAGATTTTATTATTATGTACAAGTAGTAAAATTGTCAAAATATATTTTAAACCGCATTGAGATCCATTTATTTTGTTTACTAATTATATTTCCAGGAAAAGGTATCTCATTTATTATAGCTCTTATACTCCCTTATAATTTCTAATATACACATTGAAGGACTAACTGTAAGTACTGGTGGACATGTTCCAACACATCCAGATTTCCTGTTCAAGTTGAACAACGATAAATTTCTCTTTTCTTCCCCTCTTCTTTACAGACAATCATAAAACTTTGGAATTTGGTAGTGCTAGAGACACTGCCAGCATAGTGACCTACCCAAATATTACATACACCATCTCATAGCTTAATTCCAGGGATGCATCAGTGCTGATGAAACTACTGGTTAGTGCACACCACAAGTATTAACTCCTAAACTCCTTAAACTGTTGATCCAAAATACAATCAATATGGCATCAGTGCATAATACCAGCCTCTTCTAGTATTTGTGAATTTTATACTTCAACAACAACAAAAATCTCGTAAGATACCTTCGAGAATTCATTTACCTTGTACAATGCCCCAAGGGTACTGACGAGCTCTCACCATTTTATTTCCAATTTTCACCTCTTCCGTACTTCCTATGACGGCAAATGGCAGATGCCCCTGTAAGAGTCACACCAATACAGTCTATCTCTCAGCATTCTTATGTCAGAACTGAAACACTTCAGAAATAAATTAGGGGGAAAAAAACACCATTTCAGGAAAAGCCAACAGGCAGTTTCAAACCACAAACTGCTTTGAAGAGATCAGTAGCTAGTCAAACTACCGACACAAAAGCCAAGCTACAATAACAAAACCGGGAGAAGCGACTGATAGACCAGATGGGTGTGCTGCCAACCCAGAGGAACCTCGACAGACTGGAGAAATGGGCCAAGAGGAATCTCAGGAAGTTCAAATGAGACCAATGTCAGCACGTCAGGAGGAATAACCCCACGCTCCAGCATGTGCTGGGGACCGACTGTGGGGAAAGGCACTTTGCAGAAAAGAGGTGGGGTTCCTGGTGGACAACAGCTTGGACCTGATTCAGGAGGTCTGCCCCACTGGGAAAGGCAGACGACTGCTTCCTGAGCTGCATTAGGTGGAAATGGAAAGTTGCTCTAGAACACATCCCCCTGATTCGCATTCAGGCAGAGTTCATACCCCCAGTAACAGTCATGAGACGATCACAGGTCTGAACCCGAGGTATGGTTACTGCTGTGGGCTCAGCCACATGGCCACAAATACATGCTGGGTACTGACTGACCGCGTGCTGACCCACAACAACCAACCAAATAAGAAAAAAAAATCATTAACTGAAAAATAAATCAGCAGCTGACCATGAAAGGGGTAAGTAAGAGACCACCACCCCCTAAGCAGAAGGACCTGTTGCCGAAGAGCCTGCACATCCACTCTCCCTGGCACATATGACGGAGGCTGGGACTGCAGAGCCATACACTCTGGCATACCGGCTCCTCCTCCCTGCTTTCACACCCCAGTACATGCAAACGTATGTTCATGTGCATCTACAAACATCTGCACATAAAGAGAAAATACAGGCAGAGTGCTCAAAGCAAAGCCGTCTAGCTTCACAAGCTTAGTTGAAGCTGGTAGATATGCCTGGGAGGATCTTAAAGGACAAAAGTAAAAAAGCCAGAATTATATCTGACTTTCTAATCGCCACAGAAAATTTGTCCTAATTTCAAATGAAAGTACTAAATAAAAGGAGAAAGCAGATGGAAAACTTGCTATCATAAAGACCATAGAAAACTGGAGAAACAAGGCACTTGAGTATCTTCCCTAACAGATGTAAGGTAGTCCGGGTCCTGCACTTCGGTCACAACAAC